TTGACCACATGAATAGAGAGGTAAATACTAAACCACAAAAAAGACACAAGTAGCCAAAATCAATCAATTTTTGACACATAAATGCATAAGAATATCGAAATCTAATCCTTGTATAAAGCATGTGTCGGCACAATTTTAGAGGTCTTGTGGAAGTTGTCGGTCGCCAGGATGGAAATCCCGACGCCTGCTATATATATATATATATATAGTTTAGAAAAATATGAAATCAAATTGATTTTATATCTTTCAAAGTTTAGATGAAAGAGCACTAGACCTCAAGCTATGTATTTATCTCAAAAGATAAACATGTAACTTGATAGTGGAGCTCAATCAAATAAACTAAGAAATGTATAACATCTGTTTGGTCTGCGAAATCATTTTATTATAAGCCGACAAGTTTCCCTATTTAATATAAAAAAATTAAATATGGTTTATATTAAGTTGGGTTCGGAAAAGCTTCCTATAAGGGCAAGCCCCTATAGTTAATTACATCTTAGATAGCCGAAGTCACCTAAGAAAACTCTCGATTAAAATCAGGGGATATTGTCTTCAAGAATTTCAAATGATAAGACTTTTCAAAGAGATCAGACAAAGAGGTGTGAAAGAGGATTGACTCAAATTTGGAACATTTTATTTTTGGAATCCAAATGAAGAAGAACTAGGAGATTTTACAGATCCTGAGGAGAACCTCAATGACCTCCCAATCTATCCTATGGTTTGGATTGAATTTGGAGGAGAAATATTTAAATGTTTCAACCTGTCAATTTTATTAATTAGGGCTTACATTTGCGAGGGCTTACATTTGCTACATTTGCGTGAAACGATCACACAAATATCATGGAAGATGTGAGGATTTAGGTCGTGACGAACGACAATCTCGGAATCCTAAAACAAGTAAGACCTTAAATTGTATAGTAGAGTCATACAAAAGCCTAAAGATAGGTTGAGGATTTACTTCACACTAGGGAGACAACCTCAAAGTCCTATAACTTGGTTGTTTAATTCTAAGGAATGATTTAGTTGGTGTAGACATATTTGGCTGTTGAAGATGGTTGTGCTGCCCATAATGCTAGCTCCAAGCTCCTCGACGTATCAGATTTGAGTTTTCTAATGTGTCAAGTCATAATGTTAGATCAAATGTTTTCTAAGGTTATGGTTATTTAAATATTATGGGGGATATTAAAGTTGATTAGAGCGACACCAGTTAGGATCATAGGGTTCCCTCGTTCCGACACCACAATTTTTCTCACTTAGTCTAAATGAATTTACTAAACTCAACTTCATGACTTCCATACTTTCATTTAGACCATGGAAAATCTTGTTAGCAACCGTAGGTTTCCTCCTCTAAGGGATTCCTAATCATCTAATAGAAATGTTTTAATTTATTTGCAATTTTTATTTTTTTTTATTTGTGATTAAATTTTGAGTTGTTTTATATTTTGATTGTTGTAATGGTGAATTTTATCTTGTTTTGATTTTTTTAATTTTGTTTTTGTTTCAATTTTGTGGTTATCCTAAAAGTTTCAGTTTTGACATGCAGGATGACATTGTTGTTTAACATGCAATTTTACATATAAGAAATGAAAGGCACAGAAAGGTAAATAAAATTAAATTGCAATGCAGTAACTTGGATGATTCCATTAAGCAACTCATGATAAGTCCAAGTGTCCTCCGAGATTCTCAAAGGATCATGAAAAGTCCTGGGTAATACCTTAGACATTTCACAGTCCCTCGATTCATCTCGAGTTCATTTTGGTCTTATTATGTTCGCTATGTGGTTCACCCAATTTATACCCTTATACTTAGTGAACTTTGATGTTTTGATTATCCCTTTAATTAGGGTAAACATCACTTGATGTTTCACTTATGAATTATACGGGGCCATTATGGGCAATTTGGCTTAATTAAGGGACTTAGCCCGTTTGATTTTTAAAGATGAGCTTGTAGTGTTTTTTTTTTTTTAAATTGCAAATTAATTATAGGTCATTTTCTAAACTCATTAGACAAAATTTTGATTAAACCTAATTCACCACTAAGCCCTTAAAACTTAATATGTAAATTAGTAATTTTTAGAAAAAAAATTAAATATTGATACTTTTAATCCTTATCATGTATCATTAATTATTTTAAAACCATTAGTTGGGGTTTTAGTTAGTGGGTTACGATCTTCCAAAGTCAAACCCCTCACCTTAATATCTTCTTATTTAATTATTCTTCCAAATTTTATCAATTTAAAAAATTACAAAATTATCTTTAATGAGACCAAAGTGAGATTTGCTGTTACCATTTATCCCTTTCGGCATATGCAAGAAAGGATTACAATTAATACTACCATGTCAATTATCCTATGTATTTACACTAAACTTTATTTTTTACATCTATAACATTCAAAATTTTCATATAATATCAAAAATACTACTATTTTAGTTATTAAATGTGAAATATTTCCTTTCATGTATAGTTAAGGTGCTATATATATAG